CGGACCTCGCTCGTGATTCGTGGCAATCAAAGCAAACATTTTGGAAGCTATCGCGTACATTGTATAAGTCGTTTAAATTCCCCTTTTGTAGTGTATAACTATTCAACAAATGAGCACTTGAAGGCACGGGTCGCGATTGAATCCTTCAAAAACATTCTCTCATTGGGTGAGGTAGCAGGACTCCTAATCATTGGGATGATGGTACTGCCGCGACCCGAAAGTGCGCGATAAGGATGCCAATGCCTTTGCTCCCTGGCTCACAACGTGCTCCCTCTCGTTTTCCCTCTCCTCGCAGCGCGCTTTCTCTTTCTCCGTCGTACCAGTCGACCTCGGAAAACTTTCGATCTTTTCCATGGTGCTTTCTGCTCCTTTCCCGCACCAACTCTACTCTTCTCTTGTCTAATTTTTGAACGAAATAACCCAGTTCGATCGCGACCCGTGCCTTTAAGATCAGTCGCACTATGATTTCTGAGAACCGACTTCATTCTCTACATTCCTTGGATTCTGCCACTTATACATCAGTCTAATGGGAATTCGAGCTAAAACTGAAGTGAGTACATTGTGCTTTTCAGATCCTTCAATTCGATCAAACATGAGCCGAGTAAATTTGATCACAGCTAGTGAGTTACAGACCAAAGGAACGCAGTTGGGAGCTGGAGCGTTCGGAGTCGTGTATGCAGTAAGTCATTTATTCGCTTAACCTGAATAAACGATGCAAATTCGAACATTATTTCATTGGACGTACTTTCTGGTTTTCTGCTTCCGAAAAGAAGCGCGTCGAGCACAGACCACACAACACAAATGACGACAGCCTCCAAGTATTCTGGTTACTAGTGGTTCATAGTGATAGCTGATGGTTGGTAAATGATAGTTGTAATTAGTGACAACTGATAGAATACAACTGCAACCGGCTAATTCACTTACATTTTGTGGAGGCCGTCGTCATTTGTGTTGTGTGGTCTGCACTCGACATGCCTAGTTTTCGGAAGCAGAGCATAGTTCTGATATTTATGAAATTCAAAGCTTGTTGCTAGTATCTTATTTTTAGGTCGGCCAAATAAAGCTATTGACAATCTTGGTCGGAAGCTCAGTACTAAACCATTCTTATTTTTAGGGTTTTTGGTTCCCAAAGGGTAAAGGCAAGATAAAAGTACCGGTCGCAATCAAACTTGTCAAGGGGACGTGTACTGGAAAAGAGGTGAGTCTGAACGTTTCCAGAAGTTTGCACATGTGGGTGATCTTTCCTGCTCAAAGTAGTGTTAAGGAGACCGAAATGCTGAATGAAGCGATGCAAATGTCCTCCCTTCGCCATGAACACCTTCTGCGTCTCGTGGGAATTTGTCTGCACGAAGAAGGAATTCAACTGGTATTTGAAGCAAAATTTATGTATCCTCTTTGGGTTCTTAATACTTACCTTTAAGGTTCACACTTCGTACGCCCACTTGGAAACTTTCTCAATTTCCTGAAAAAAACACAAGCTCACTTATTGTGGAAGGTCTCCTGCCTGTACTGCCTATCAGCATATCCTCGGTACGGGTGAAGTTGAAAAATGAGATGATTTACCCGGAAGTTATCTGAACCATTTGATGTGCGCCATACATTCGTACTGGTATTTGAATTTGCCTACAAAAACTTACGAGAGCTAGTAGATGCCCGAAACGACGTCGAATTACACCACAAACACAAATAATGGCAAAGTTAGGGATTTTTGGACAAAGTGAAGCTTTTACGCGAGAATTCTGGAATGAAATGTAAGCTTAGGTTAGAGGAGGTACCCATTTGATGCTCGTCTCAATAAGGCCGCAGACGCCGCCTGCCCCAGGACCGGTAGCATTGCCGCCGCCCAGCCCACACATGACCCCGGCCCACAGTATCGATTGCTGTTTCGGCTTCGCAGCTTACTGATGAGGAACTGAATATTTTGTCCTTATCGACGGTTTCTACCCATTTTTCTTTAACATGTCACGTCTTTACTGTCAGTTGCAAGCGCAATGACACATCAGTTATACCTCGGCCTTTGCCTTTTAAGCCCGACTTCTCCTCTTTTATGTGATGTCGTCTTTAGGCTATGAAGTACCTGTACGAGCATCGTATCATTCATCGCGATCTTGCTGCCAGAAACGTTTTGGTGAAACGCCACAACCACGTAGAAGTGACCGATTTTGGCCTCGCAAAACTTCTCGACTACGGTCAGGAAAAAGTGAAAGTCATGGAAGGAAAGGTACTTTTTTTTACAATGTGTCTAATAAGTGATAAATCTCATAGATGCTCACCTAGGTCGCAATAAAATGGTTAGCATTGGAATCGTTGAGAGATCAGAGCTACACGCATCGTACTGATGTCTGGGCATACGGTGTCACATGCTGGGAAATCCTAACCTTTGGACAAGTGGGTTTCTTAAGCTTTACGCTAAAATCTCAGCGATAAATAAAGTGTTCAGTATGTTAAATTAGGATTGCAATTCTACAGAGCACCGGATCAAGTATGCCGACATTTGGTCGAATCAAGAATTTTCCTCAAAGAAGGAAATCGGCTTTCGCAGCCCAGCAACTGCTCGTCGGAACTCTACCAAGTTTTGCTGCAATGTGAGCTTTTGTTGTAGCCAGATTTGTTTCGTAGACGACATAAACTTAAGGTCACCAAATTCGAAAGGTGACTGAGCTTGAACCTTCACTTCCACGATGACTTTTACGAATTAGTTCGTAGATTGTTCTGGTTTTTCGCGGATATAATGTGGAAACAAAATCAAACCAACTGGCGGTTAGCTCCTGTTTGAAGGCTTCCTGCATTCATCAAAAAAGCAGTAATCGATTCCGAATTGACGTTTTTACCAAATCAAAGAACTCAAATTTAGGCTGGATGGCGAATCCGGAGTCTCGGCCGACGTTTACAATGCTCCATGATCGATTCTTAAACTTCTGCCGTATCCCTCACCTATACGTTGTGGTACGTTCTTTTTTCCTATTCTTTGTATTTGCAGCGAAAGCATAAGAAATTGTGATTTTGCGTATTCATCACTTCTTATAGAGGCACATATGGAACGATAGATGTATACTTAAAAAATAATGTTGCCAGCCAAAGTAACACCCATAGATCGAATTGGTGGGGTCGCCGCGGTTAATAATGAAGTTTTGGATGCCGAATTGACTAGAGGTGAAGAAGAAACAAAGAAAACTATCGATGAAACCGAAAACCGAAATTCCCCTTGAAACAGGTAGGGGCGGGGCCGGACGAATTGTGCGAAGTTGCCTGCTCCACGGCTTATTAACCTGCGCGCATTTGAATTAGCCGCTACGCCGTAATCCACGTTGCGTGTGATGGAGTGTGCGCTACGTAACTTGTCCAAAATGTCCTAGGATTAGTCGCAAAATACTGACTCGGTACAGATCCTAGCGCATTGCTGCGCTCACTTCTCGAGATTCTGCGATACTCGTGAGCTACTCTATCCCATCCACTGAATAGATTCTTCGACACAACTTTCGCTGTGGCTGCTGCTTTAAGACGTCTGTCAGCTTAATGTTGATTTGTTTTTCTCTTCAGGACCAGACCGCACCGCAGGCGTTTATCGAAACTGAGTCCCAGAGAGACCTACTGAGAGAATTGTTGAACGACACAGAGAACGACTTCACCGATCCGTTGAATTACTTTGAAACTTGTGAAAATCCTGACACACCCACGAGCGATTTCGACGGGGTGAGCATATTGTATTTCTTTCCTCTGTTATAAAGTTATGAAGGGTTCTATCTACACCACAGAACTCTCTGATATAGATATGTTCACGTTTTACGGTTTCATTTGTTCAAACTTCTCAGAGCGATTTCAGGCATTTGAACCTCGCAATGTACGAAGACTTCAATCGACATCAAGCTCTCATCGATACCAGACGGATCCTATGCTTCGTCGTTAGTCTCGTTCAACTTTTAATTACCCCTATAAATGACCCTTTGAATGATACTGTAGTCTTGAAGGTGGTGTGCAAAACTTGGCCGTCCACTGTAGGATAAATGTGCCAAAGAGAAAGTAGGTGCATGCTACGTGTGCCGTATTTCGCTGCTTGAAGCGCTTCCGGAGCGACTTAAAAAGGCCGCGTAGAATTGTTGGACCACCCATGGCTGTTTTTTACAGCCAAACGACCACAAGAGAAGAAGATATTCGGCTGCACACTAATCCTTGTAGTGCGAAGGCAGAGCATTACATTGATTAGATGCTTCGTAACTAATTTTGGCACATCATCAGCATTTTGCGCTCACTCACCGCCTGAAATCGATTACCAGATAGAGAACTTAAAGGCAGTGTTCACTGTCTGAGAGGCGGAACAGTTTCAGTGACGTCATTGACAATGACGGAAGGTTGCTGGAGGGTGTGGACAGGACACCTCTCAATGAGCGCATAATTCACTGATTGTGGTACACATATCTACCACCAAAATGTTACACTTGTGTACCAGTGGGAGGCAAAGGGTTAGGCTAGTGGCAGCACAGAATAGCGTCGAATAACCTCGCCGAAAGGGTAGTGGTAGTCCTTCTATATTTGAGACCGCGAATCTCTCTCTTCAGATGTATACATTTACCCGGGAAGTTCTCTAATAGATATTCTGAGGGAAAAAGCCTAGGTGCTTTCGAGTAGTTGTTATGAGTTCATTATTGTTTGAGGTCCTGGGCGATAAGTTTGGTGTTTTCGGTGAATCCGCAATGTAGTTCCACGATTTCAGCGATCACTCGGCCTGCAGAAGTCGGCATGGACGACGGAAATTATTTGATTCCCAACGCGAAACTGTTGAACGAACATGCCACCATGTACACACCAGTCGTGGTGAACGAAAATGGTGCCACTGGTGAGTCACTTTAGTTTAGCTACTTTTAAGAATAGATTCAGACATGGAGGAAGGACGCCGGGTTTGACCGCTGCTAGCGCGCTGCCGTTCTTATCGATCATGGCATACGTGGCGTCTGCACCCTCCCACGTACGACATGCTCTCTCGCGTCTTGCTATCCTTTCAGCGCTTGTCTCTCCGCCCTACCATAGCCAACCTCACGAGAAAAATTCAAGTGTTCCCTATGGTGCTTTTTGCTTTTTCTCACTTATTTACTCTTCGCATTTCTTGTCTAATTTTTGAACGAATGGATCGATTGCGAGCGGTGCCTTCAAATTACAAACACCCACATACAATAATTGAACTACACACACACATAAATTACCTATTTTTTACTGCTAGCGGTCATCATAAAAGTGTTTCTTCATATTAATGGTTTTGTCGAGATTAAAAATTGAACATCAATAAATGTTCAGAGCTAGTGAATAGTCATGACTACTACAAATGAGGCCAAAGCAAAGTCGGACTACTACAATGACGTTCTCGGTAGTCGACCAGTAGATCACCTTCTACAAATCAAAGAGGAGCCGTCTGAAGAAGTTTGAGAAGGAGAGTTGTTTGTGATATTTGCGTGACGGTGATGATTTTCTCGCTTTAGATCTAAGTCAACCCATTTTACCTTTAAATCCACTTTTACATCCTGTTATTTTTGTATCCGGTTTCATTGGTTTCTCATACATTCCTGCATTGCATGCTCCTCTATTGAACTGCAGGTCACTATTCTTAATTTGTTTTCCTTCAAAGCAACAACCCGAGATGGTGTTTAATTTCGAACAAGCTGTGGAGTGTAGCCGCACGTTTTCATTGTTATGCGTTCTGCCACATTCCTTAAAAAATGCGAAAATTGGCGCTAGGCCTGGCCAACAGTAGCTAATGGACGAGATCCTCACGCACACCACATTGCGGGCAACTTATGGTTAGATTACGATTACGGTCAATTCAAATACGTGCGGGTTAGTGGAACCATGAAGCAAGCCAGACAACTCGTCCAAACACGCCCCACCTTTGTTTCCATTGAGAAGAGAGGGAGCCCTTGTTCGAGGGCTTCATCGGAAGTTAGCTTTGCTTCTTTTTTTTCATTTTCAGTCACTTCGGCATCCTTGTTTTCATTATAGTCCGCAGTTACACCACAAATTGATATAGGGTTGTTGCTTTAAGTCTTCTCATTCTCCGAACTCTACGTTCACATTTGTTCTCGTAACTTTGGCCGCTGTTGCTATTTTCTCTCATTGTAGTTGTTCCGCTCTCCACTTCTGAAACGTCTGCAGCTCTTTCAAGGTCACCACTCATGCTCGAGTAGGTGGGTGTAGGCTCTACAGGCTACTTTAAAAGTGCTCAGACTTTTGCATGCCATCTAGGGTACCTGGAGCGCAGACGGTATTTAAGATCTCATTCATAGCAGTCACTAGAGTTACGGTGTAAACCCACAATGCATCTTATTTTCTACCAGAATTCTATAGTACCAAGTGAATTTTTTTCTGCGCATATCAAGCCAGTGAATTGGTTTTTTTTTACAACAGGGAGAAATTTTCTTGTAATCCTTCGCGTTTCCGAACATGGCCGTTGTTATGTTGTCACCAGTTGCCGTTTTGTCAATGTCATAATCCATTATTTATACACCTTGCCCATTTATGAAAATCTCCCCTCCAAATCAAGGAGCGTATGGGCGGAACTCACATATTGTCTCTATTTTCAACGTTGTGTCGTGCTCACATTCGGGTTCTCCTCGTATTCTCGTGATAGAGCGATGTATGCGATTAAACATGTACATATCTATTTATAGTACTAATAAAAATTATTATGATTCTTGTAAAGGTTCTTCAGTTTTTGAAGGCACAGCTCAAGGCATAGTCAGTGGTTATTTAGGAGGTGAGTACGGTGACTTTAAGGCTGAGCCGATTTGGAGACGTCATTGGTGAAAGGACAATGCCCACCCCCCCCCCTCCTCTCACCGGCTTCCTCCAGCCGTCAGGATCAGCCATCGCATTGGCAAAAAATTTAGAAATTCGAATTGGCAATTTTCAAAAAATTTACGACCCGACCTTGTCTCTCCTACGCCGTCCCTTCCCTCGTTCTTCGATGGCGGGTCACGCAGTACGATGAAGCGACAACAAGTGGCAAGGAAGCTGTGCAATAGGAGGAGTGTGGCATAGTACCCAGTACTGAGGATGGGAATCAGGATTCGACGACTGATGGGATCATCATACTGATAGGATGCTTTCTCCCAATCCACTAGCTGAAGTTCAAGATAGTGATTATGGGATGTTTGTAAGTAAATAGACGAGTTCAGATGATGTATCACTTCATATCTGGTCATATAAATACCGTGTGTAGCGGTAGACACTTCATTTATAGCTTCTTCCCTCGTGCTGTTCGCTGATCAACTGGCTACTGAATTCATAGGTGTGCTTCTCGACTTTCGGATTGAGACATGTCCGCATGTCAGGTCTCCTGATGACAATGTGTTTCCTCAGCATGGAGAATCAACCCGCAACTCGTCCTTACCTTCTGTGGCGCGGTGAAAACGAAACAGCGCTGTACTATATTGACCAGAAGCACATCTACACTATTGGAAGACGATGCAGTTAGTTTCAAGATTTTGCTTATTGTTCGGTAGACGTTATTTAGTTACTGGAAACAGAGAAGGAACACATAGTCAGAGGAAACGCTTGAACTATGTTACTACCGGGATTTCC